TATTTGTCTCATCCAGAGTAGAGAATTGAATGGGCTCGACTGTCTTTTTAGTGACAATGAGATTATTATAACTTTGGATATTTTCATGATTGGGTGCATAAGTCATTCTCGGGTAGTTATAATTCAAAATGCAGCCTGTTATGGTTGAAAGCTTAGGGTGGTCTAAGTCTGATGTGGGCTGAAACCTGAAGGATATGCTGATTAAATAGCTTCTTATGAGGTATCTTCTTTCATCAATTTTTCTTTTATTTTCTTTTTTAAGGGCTTTCAAAATTTTGTTTAATTTTTCTTTAAGTATCACCTGAGCCTTTTTTATCATTTTGAAACAACTTGCATTATCTTATTCCATTTTTCTAACTCTAACCCAAGTGTAGTACTAGTGTTAAGCTATCATTGAATCTTGATTTTCTATAATTATGGTGTAAATTTAGAATGATGTTTATGGAACCTTCAGATTATGCATGAAAATGAATGTAGTGATACATAAATGCATGCATACACAAAAAGAGTTAATAAACATAATATGCAATCTGCATTTATATTTATGAATATACATAAGAAGAAAAAGAATAAAAAGATGAAAAAAAGATTAGTTAGTCACCTCAATAAAAAAATAAAGAATAGATATTATAAAGCAAGTAAAATAACAACATGACCTTAGATTTGAGTTAACTATAAAGGGTGGAAGAGATAACTTTATGTATGGTTAGGCTCTTAAGGTTAACTAGATGTGGTTTGGATTACCTCTAAAGGTTCTCAAATTATTCCTTACATCATAGTCCATCACTCACTAGTAAGGTACCCCTATCCTTACCCATTATAAGCTACAAGTGAAAAAAGTTCAATATAAGTAGGAGTGTTTAGTAGGCCCACACGAAGACATGAAATCTCACGAGGGTATAGGTACTTCACTCCCTCTTAAGATTAGAGCTCGGACAAAGAGCTTATGTTATGCATATGTGAATGGATGACAAATATATACAATAAATAAATGAATAACTAAAACAAACATAAGTAATGAAAAGAAATAAAATAAATTTCAAATTTATTAGGCAAGGTTTGGATAGTAAGAAATCATTTACTAGCCTGACTCTTGATGTCCCTAGTAAAGTCGTCAAGTTATCATAACGTATAGATCTGTAGATCTATCACTAGATATAGATTAAAAGAGTAACCACCAATCTTTTTTTTAAGGTGTGATTGGCCACCTGATATAAATTTTAATATATGAAATTATAGTTTAAGTTTGGGAGTATGGTTACTCATGGGAAATGTTATAGCACCCCCACAACACCCATCCAAATGATGGTACCAATTAAATTTTAAATTATCCAAGCCTTGATCATATTTGTGATTTACCAGATAATTTAATATTGAAAATATATCTTAAAATTATCCTAATAGTTTGGTAGTAATTTAAGATAATTCTCTCACTTCATCAGTATTTATGAGGACTAGTATCCTACTTTGAAGCGGCTCCATTGTCAGATTTATTAATGCATTTTTATTCAAAAAAATTAGTAAAGTCTTTCAATAGTTTAGTATGACTTACTTTGAAGTAGATCTCCCAATAGTTTGGTAGGACTTTACTATAAAAGATTTGTAAAAATTTTGTGAATTTCATTAAGTCTCCTAATAGTTTGGTAGGATTTAATTTGAAAAATAATCTTCCAATAATTTAGAGGATAAAAATTATTTAGTTTTTTTTTTTTTGAAAACTTATTTATGAAATTTTTCAATAGTTTGGTGGATTTCATAAAATTTAAATCTATGAAAATTTTTCAATAGTTTGGTAGAATTCATGAATTTATTTTGTAAAGATTTTTTTGTTATTTATTAAAAGGATTTTTTTTTGTTTTTATAAATATATTTTTTTTAAAACTTAAAAAGATCTTTTTTTTATTTTTTTATTTTATTTTGAAAACTTATTTGAAAAATTTTTTTTGTCATTTGCATTTTTCCATAAAGAAAATACATTTTTTCTTTTTTGTATAAATAAAAATAGAATACTAATAATAAATTAAAACCAAAGAAATGAAAAAAAAAAACTTAAAATATGAAAATAAATAAAAATCAAAAAATAAAATAAAAAAAGAAAAGGAAAACCTTACAATCAAGTCGGGTCAGTACGCGGGTCAATGCGCAGGTTACCGGATCAGAGCTCGAATCCTGGGCTGCCAAAATGTTACCATTTTGGAGCAGTATAAAAGTAATCCTTCAACGTTTTTATCTTAGATGCCTTTGCTCTCTCTCTCGAGACCCTCAAACGCTCTTCCTTCTCTTTAAATCTAGCTAAGAGCCCATCGAAAACTAGAAATCCTTACCAATTTTTGGAAAATCCCATCGAAAAATTCATATTCCACCAAAAAACTCATCGAAAAATTTATATCCCACTGAAAAATTCATCAAAAATTCATCCAAACCTAGATTTTTCAGAAAAAATCTTAGAAAATTTTTAGATTCTTCATATTCCTTAAAAAATCCTTCTTGAACCCAAACCTAATCTCAAAAATCTAAATCTAATCCTAGAATCTTCAAATCACACCCAAAACTTCAAATCGATCCTAAAATCCCAAAACCCAGAATCTCATAAACCTAGTATTGCCTAGTTCAATTTATCCAAATCAATCGTGTCCCTTTTAAAATCCATTGTCCTTTGTTCTGTGGTTTCCTGTCCAATTTATAGGTCTCTTATGATAGATTTTAAAAATAGATAAAATCAATCCTAAGCCTGAATCCTAGAAGCTTGGGATTGAATTCTGCCCGAATCTCAAACTGAGTATAGATTCTTGGTTGATTTCTTAGGTTGAATTTATAACCCCAATTATACAATAAAACGATTGACTATATTAAATTCCTTTGATCAGATTTCAGTTTTCAAAATTCACACTAGAATCGAAACAAGGAAAGAAAAATAATAATAATAATAGTTTATTATTATTATTATTATATAATATAATAATTAAAATTATAATAGTTATAATAACTATAATACAATAATAATATAATAGATACCATGATAATAATATAATAATAGTGTTATACTATACTATAATACTAGTAATAATAAAAAAATAAAATAAAATAGTCTCGAAGGACTCTGGATACTGATGAGTGTCTACAGCTAGCAAATGTATAGCTTTTTCTACTATATCCTTAGTTTCTCTTATAAAAAAAATATTAAAGGTAGGAAGAAAATGGTTCTATTTATAGATTATTATCTTATTATATATATATATAGATACACTAATGTTAGATTTTTAAAATCTTCATATGTGAGTTTAAATGTGTCATGATCGATTTGTAAATCATCGTTGATGGCTTTCTATGCTTCAAGGCGGAATTGCAAAATTTTAACTCCATAAAAGAATTGCTCAAAAACTTAATAATTGAACGACAAGTAACTCATTAACCCATCCGATATATTATACAAAAATTACTACTAAAACCTTGGCCCTGGCTTTGGGAGATATGAACTAAATTTAGATGGGTTTTTCTTTGCTTTCAAGCAAGCATAATAACAAATAAATCTTTAGGCTAGTGCCAAAAGTTATATGATAGATTGATAGAATATTGAATTTTAATTTTAGTGATTAAAATTTAAATCATGATAGTTTTAAATACAAAAAAAAAAAAAGAAAAATCCCTAAGTTAAGTTGTCTTTGTTCACAGCTCCCAACCACAAGGCTTCATGCATTTTCACCAACAATTATTGGGATGTCCAAATTTATGACAACCATTCAACTTTAGTGTAGTGCTTTGGAGAGTTCATTTGTTTTTTTTTTTTTTCCTTCTCCATATATGGATAAATCTTGGATATTGTTTACATTAGTACTATTTTATGCATCACATAAAACTTCAAGTACTCTAAAATCAAGGTTCAAAAACAATCTACTTGTCAATTAACTTGCTAATTTTAAGGGGATTAATTATTAGTTTTAGGGAAACACAAGTTAAATCAAATGCATATCTTCCGAAAACAGGAGTTTTGGATATGGGACCATATTGCATGTAATTACAACTTTGTGAGAATCATGTGATGAACTTTAGTATTTTTACGAATCTCTCATCTCTATTTCATGTTAACAACACCCTATATATTTATGATAAAGATGTACTTATTAATTATAACATGTGAACCATTTGAATTTAACTTTTCTTTAAGTTTGGCTTCTATGATTGTCACTTTAATCATTAAACATTTAATTGGCAACTCATTGGCAAAGTCCTAATGCTCATTTGAGCGTTGATTATATACATTATTTTGTAAAAAAAAAAAAAAAAGATCTATTTATGGTTCGCAATAGATCCTTATTACCTGATATAAACCCAAGTGGCTCTGGGCATATATAGGTTATTTGGTCGTGAAATTGTTCTATATCAATCGCTATTATGCGATGAGAGTTTCTTACATCCAGGAATAGAAGTAATAATTAAGGTGGCTATTTACGTGAATCCACTATTTTAGTTTAGCATAATATTTAAAATTTGCAAAAGAAAAATAATTTAATAAAAAAATCTAGAAAATTAAGCTAAAATTGTTATAACCAGTAACAATAAATGATGATGATCAAGCTAAAGAATCCTTAGGAAAAAAAGGCTAAATTACACGAGGTGTGCACTTCCCTTTTATATTTATATGTAGACAAAAACGAAGGTAGAAAATTTGAAAAATGAAAACAAATAATAAATTCAAAAGAGAAAAAGATAAAATATAGCATCTGTAGGATTAGTTACAATTTTCTAAGAAAGTTAAAGATATGTTGGGAGGGCCTGCCCCCTTAGCTACGCCACTGTATATAGGGTTCGGTTCTGTCCAATATATTGATTGTCCAGTGTCTATATCTATATGCTTGCTATACGACAAACGACAAATGTTTATGATCAAAGGGTTGCATATATAATTACATTTCCACCCAAAAAAAAGTTTGCATAGTGAATTATATTTTAGATTATTAATTCATACAAAGAAGAAAAATCAGAATCAGTTATTGCATATTTCATGGCATATTATTTGGAAAAAATTGACATCAACGATGTTTTAATCGGTACTATTAGAAACGGGTTTAAAATTAAGTTTCAAATTCGATTTTCAATAAAAACAAAATGTTTTTTGGGACGACCTTCTCCTTCTTTCCCTATAAATACCCAACCCAACTTGGTACTCTTACAACCAAGTTAACTAGTGTATTAACTTCCCCTTTGTGTTTGGTTTCAATGGCAGTTTCAAAGTTCCTCTCGCTTGGCACATTCATCACTTTTCTTTGTGTCATAATCAACGCTAACTATGGCCGTGTCGAAGCGTCTCACAGAGTTTATCCCCAATTTCAGTCTTTAAGTGCAGTTAGTGTCAAGCAACTTCTGCGAACTAGCTATCACTTTCAGCCTTCTAAGAACTGGATCAACGGTACGTTTTCTTCACATATAAGTCGTGAGGTTTTTTTTTTTTTTTTTCTTTTCTTTTCTAGTTCATTATTCTTTTACTGATTGGTTTGTCATTTCCGCAAGCTGTGGTTTTCTAGTTTTTTATTCTTTTGAATTACGAACAATTTCATTCCAGTTCTGCAAACTTTTTCTTTTTGGTGGGTTTCTTATTTCTGGGAACATATCATTTAAATTTTCCTTTTACTATAACGTTACAATTGTTTAATCATAATAAAAAATTATATTAAAATTTTATTATTACTTATAAGTGTAAGATTCATGTAAAATTTTAATAAATTCTATGTAATTTAAATTTTAATTGATTAATTATATTATAATTGTTGTAGGTAAAATGGTTCCGTTATTGCCAGAAGATTAGCCGCTTCTCTATTTCATCAATCATATATAGGAATAATTTGTTAGTTGCTATATATATAGCTGACTTACTGCCTCTTTTTCATGCATTGGCTTGCTCGAATAAATTGAGGGGTTTCCGAACCAGGCAAGGTAGCTTTAGTTTTTGTCATGGACTTGCCTGGTTTCTCCTGGATCAAGCTATGTCCCACTCCATTTTTTCTGGTTGGTTTCTCAACGGGGAAACTTTAGAGACATTAAACAGCAACATTAAGGCATGCTGCTTCGTTGCCAATGATGATTACTTTATACTTAAATTCCTTAAAGTATATTATATTTTTCTGCTTGAAGCTCTCCAGACTGAATCCTAATAATTGAAACTAAGAATATAGTACTTTATCAATAAACTAATTGTTGAAATAAATAAATAAATAAATATATATATATATATTTTAAGTCTAGAATGAAATTTCTCTGAAGAATCATGGATTCTCAGGAATCCTTATTTTCCCTCACAAAATGATATTACAAAATATTGTTGGTTTTAATAATTTGAAGATTGTGTAACTGAACAACTGCCTACTTCCTTTTGAGTTTTGTAGGGTGGCATCACGCGTGAAGTAATTTTAAATCCCCATTTCCCCACTCCATTATTTTTAAGTTATCTGTTTATGCGGTATTGTTTTTCTGAACATCAATTAAAAAGAGAGTATTTAAACTCTATTTTTTTAGTAATGCATAGCCGACGAGCCTTTAAATGTTTCTTAATTACTATAATTTATGAGTTTATATTTAATACATTATTAATATATAAATTTTATATATTATTAAAAAATTATATTATATTATTTTATTAATAAATAAATATCAATCTTTAAAATAAATATATAAAAATTAATATTTTTTAAAAAATTTACTTATTAATAAGATGATATCATTTTATTCACTGACAATGTATAAAATTTATACACCGATAATATATCAAATATAAATTCATAATTTATATAAGAATTGAGAAATTGACAGGCTGATGGATTTCTCATTTTTACTTTTGCAATTCTCTAACGTTGTTGCTCTTATGCTGAGCTTGGTCAGCTATATTCTAGTATTAGGTTCTTTGTACCTTTGACAATAAATAAAGCTAACTTATAATAAAAGAAATAGAAAAGAAATGACATGAAAAGAAAATAATTAAGAAAAGAGAATAATTATAATTATATTTCAGGTATATGTATGTACGGTATCTTGTACATAAAGAATAAACACTTTTTTTTTTGGTTCAAGAAAAATAAATGTGATAAATGTGCATTAACAAAACTATCTTTCATGGCTTTTTAGCATCTTTCGGAATGGGATAGGACCCCAAGAGTTACAACTTGGAGAACCCATCGATCCGGCCATCTCTTCACCTCAGATTTAGGCTTTTAGTTGAAATTATCAACATGAAATTGGTCGAAGTCTTCTTCAGAGTCTCTAACTCGATAGGTCTACTCCCAAACAGTATACCATTGCTGAATTTGCCACTCGTTTTGCATTTGGACCACCTTTGCAATTGCAAGCTATTTTGCTTTTATGGTTCTTGGGTAAATGGGAATTATTTTATTGGTGGAGCCACTTTCATGAATTCTCTTCTTTATGCTGTGGTCCTTCCTTTAGGTTATATACAAAGGACATTTTGTTTTCTAGAAGCTTAACTTTTAATTAGCAGAACTCAATATATTTATATATTTTTATATAAACATAAACTCAATTTCATGAAGACTGCAACTTTTTTTTTTCAATTTCACAGTTAATTTTTTTCAACAATGATTTTCTAAATTATAGTTTTGTAACCAATTAACTTCTTGTTTTTCTTTGTTTTGTTTTTTTTTTTTTCGCCTTGGGTTCTTCAATGATGAACAAATCAACAACAGATCCAAACGGTCAGTGTCCTAACATAATCCTACAAATTTGATGTCCTTAATTATTCTATGCTTTCCCATGAAATTGTTCTCTTTTTTTGTTTGGTTTTGTAGCCCCTATGTACTACAATGGAATATACCATTTTTTCTACCAATACAATCCCAAAGGTGCAGTTTGGAGCAACATGGTTTGGGCACATTCAGTTTCAAAAGACATGATCAATTGGGAAGCACTTGAACCAGCAATTTATCCTTCAGAACACTTTGATATCAACGGTGCTTGGTCTGGTTCAGCCACCATTCTTCCTAACAATAAGCCCATAATTTTATATACCGGTCTTGATCACAAAGACAGGCAAGTTCAAAACTATGCAGTGCCAGCCAATTTATCTGATCCGTATCTGCGTAAATGGATCAAGCCTAGTAACAACCCAGTGGTTAATCCTGGAAAGGGTGTGAATGCCAGTGCCTTCCGTGACCCAACCACTGCCTGGTGGTTAAATGGGCATTGGAGAATGCTGGTTGGAAGCAAAAGGAACCATAGAGGGATAGCCTATTTGTATAGAAGTAGAGATTTCATGTATTGGATTAAGGCTAAACACCCTTTTCATTCAGTACCCTATACAGGAATGTGGGAATGCCCTGATTTTTATCCAGTTTTATTATCTGGTAAAGAAGGTTTAGAAACGTCCAATATCCAGGGAAAACCTGTTAAGCATGTTTTGAAGGTGAGCTTGGATATTACCAGATATGATTACTATACGGTTGGTACATATTTAACTGCTAAGGATAGATATGTGCCTGATAATACATCAGTCGATGGTTGGGCTGGCCTTAGATATGATTATGGAAATTTCTATGCTTCAAAGACATTCTTCGATCCTGCCAAAAAAAGAAGGATTTTGTGGGGTTGGGTTAATGAATCTGATACTACTGAAGATGATGTTAAAAAAGGATGGGCTGGAATTCAGGTACTGATATAATTTGTAGATATTTATACTAATTGCTTGGTAATTAATGTTAAATTGATGACTTATTACAATTTGTTTTTTTTTTTTTATAATGACATCCCAGGCAATTCCAAGAACAGTATGGCTTGATCCTAATCAAAGGCAATTGATGCAATGGCCCATTGAAGAGTTGGAGACTCTAAGAGGGAAAAATGTTAAAATGAGACACCAACAGCTTAAAACAGGCGATCATATTGAAGTCAAAGGAATAACTGCTGCCCAGGTTTACTTGAGAATTGTTTACTTGAACTTAAGATATAATTATTTCAAACTCCGATTATAACTTATAACTACTCCATTGTATTTGACACTGTTCACAGGCTGATGTTGATGTTACCTTCTATATTCCTAGTTTGGATAAAGCTGAGCCATTTAATCCTAGTTGGACAAATGCCCAAGAACTTTGTGCAAAAAAGGGAGCAGAAGTTCAAGGTGGGGTTGGTCCATTCGGACTCTTGACATTAGCTTCAAAAAACCTAGAAGAGTATACTCCTGTCTTCTTCAGGGTATTCAAAAGTTCAAAGAAGCATGTAATTCTCTTGTGCTCCGATGCAACGAGGTCTGTTATAACTTTCCCTGGAAACAGTAGCTATTAAGTCTTTTTTTTTCATGTCACCAAATTTCTGAATTAGCTTTTTGCAGCTCCTCATTGATGGATGGGCTGTATAAACCATCATTTGCTGGCTATGTCAATGTAGATTTGGCTGATAAGAGGCTTACTCTTAGAAGTCTGGTATGCCCTTTAATTTGTAATTACTATCATTTACTGGCTATGTCAATGTAGATTTGGTTGATAAGAGGCTTACTCTTAGAAGTCTGGTATGCGCTTTAATTTGTAATTACTAGTAGTTTTAATGCTGTACTCCTTTACTGTATCTTATTTATTTGGTCTTTTTTCTTGCAGATTGATCATTCTGTTGTGGAAAGTTTCGGAGCTGGAGGAAAAACATGCATCACATCCAGGGTTTATCCTACATTAGCAGTGTTTGAGAATGCTAACTTGTATGCATTCAACCATGGGACCGAGACTATCACCGTTGAGAATCTTAATGCCTGGAGCATGAAGAAGCCTCGGATGAACTGAAAGGAATCGACTCATGACTGCCTAGTTAAGTTATAACATGTATGTTTCTAATGTGCAAGTCTAATGAATAATGAACAAGTTTTGCACGCCTAAGTGAAAAGTTTTTCTTTTTCAGTTTAATCTCGGATAGGTCTTTGAATGCTGCTGTGTTTTCTGTTTTTTAGGCCATGTAATGTTTTTGCCTTGTTTTCATTATTAATAAAGTGAAAAAAAAAATTTAACTAATGAGAAAGGGCCGTAAGACATAGAATGAGTTCTAAAGGAAAGAACTTTCCTTCAATAAAAATCTGATCCAGAAACTAGAAATCATGTGTATGAAATTGAAGTTGATAGCAATATTATCAACGTTGTGATTATAGTCAATGCCTATCCTATGAAAGACTGTCCTAATTTTGCAAGATAGTAGTAATATTTACAATAACTCTATCTAACCTTCTCGAGAACTAATAGTAGTAATTATTTACAATAACTCCATTTAACCTTCTCCAGAACTAAACCTTATGAGAATCCGAACTATATGTTGCCAATATCGATAGATGCATGTCATTTTTGCTTGGCTAACAATTTTGATGGTATGATAAATATTTTAGTTTATCATATCATCAAGGTAGTTCACCAAGGTTAGAGTTAAGATTTTTTTTTTATCAGAAAGTACTTTCATTACTACATAAAAGCATCAACATTCGTAATAGTTCCAGAGAGATTCTCCCACACAAGAACTTAACCCACATTTCCCCTAATCTTGGCTACATTATGAGCTAGAGTGTTTGCAGTCCTGTTAACATGTAAGAAACAATATACTATGTATTGTAAAGCTGCGCTCAGCACATCCAAAGTGATTCCCGTCCCTTCCCAGTTCGAGTCCCCAGCCTTGTCAATCTCCGTTACCATTATAGATGCATCCGTTTCAACCTCCACTACATCAAACCCATCCACCCCGAACAGCACTGCGTTCATCTCTGCATGAAGAGATCTTTGAACGTTCACCACGTTCGTTACTGCACATAGCACAACTCTACCATTTTTTTCCCGTACTACCATCCCCAACCCAGCTGTCAAAGTTTTGCAGTCAAACACTGCATCCACGTTGATCTTAAAATCGACTTTTTCAGGCGGCTTCCACTTCGCTAGTACCTCCCTGCCATTATCGTCTCTGTCTGAGGTATGCGACAACTCCCCTCCTTCACTCAGCATACGTCCCACTTTGAAAGCTGTCTCACTTACAGATACGCACGTGCTATCATGGAAACACCAGTTTCTATTCGACCAGATCATCCAAAGGGTATACATGCATGTTTCTAGTTTCTTTTCTTGGTTCGCCTTGATCAAAAAACAAGTCCAAAAATCTGGAGACAGCCCCAGGTTCTAGCCATCCCCGCACCCAGTTAGAGAACCTCTTCCATAAACAGACACTAAAATGACATTAAAAGAATAAGTGGTAAACTAATTCCCCCTTTCTCCACAAACACAGGTATCATCAACTTCGATGTTGCGCCCTTTAAGACTTAGGACAATAGATTTCGGCCTTGACATTTACTATTGCAACGAGAATGATTGCTGGGTAAAAGGTGAAGACATGTCTGGAACGGAAGAAGTAATGCAGTTTCTAGAACTTGTATAGAGGAAATGTTTGCTAATGGAGGGGCAGCACTTCCAGGGGATTTCTTGCCCACCATCAACTATTTTGACAGGCAAGGTTTTCTTCATGATCATAGAAGAATTAAAGGAGGGTTTTTGCTTTCCTTGCAAGAACCAGGGCCTCAACGGTACACAGATGAAATTATATCAAAGCCCTTGCAATGGTTAATTAGTTCAGTTTCTACTTCTATGAAGTATGAAGGGGGATAAATTTCACTTCCAAATTAATTCGGTCTTTGTAAGGTGTTTTCATTATTTCAAAGTCTAGTTGCAATCCACATGTATCCACACACAAGGGAAGATGCCTAAAATAGTCAAAACACAAATTTGAAACTCAATTGAAAATCTTCATCAATTGCCATATCCAGAAATCAACTTTCAACAAAAAAGAACAGCAAAGAACTAAATGGAAAATTTTCCGAAGTCTGATATTCAAATTCTTTTAAAGCATACAAGACAACCCCAGTCATAGTTTACTTGATCTTCTTCTTGGGCCTCAACTGCAACAAGAGAAAGAACATTCAGTTCATTATAAATTACAACAAAAGAAAACCCAGATGATAATACAACCTACAAGAAAACAAATACAGAACATATAAACCTGATTGCTGTGACCGCACTTCTTCTTCCTACAGTTCACAGCTCTTGGATGAAGACGAGCATAACACCTAGCAAACAAAAAATTAGGCCATAATTTTACTTGAATGATGCAAGCTGAACATTGGCAATTATTAATAATTTCATATGAAGATGCAACTTTTAACATAACATACAATAATGAAGCAAAGCAACAATCAGATTATATTAGTTCCGGTCATTAAGCCCTTCAAGTTAATCATTCACTCAAATCCCATGATATAAATCATCAATCTCCATAAGAACACCTCACTAAGAAAATAATTAAGAAAAACTAATCTTATGATTTATCAAGCCCGTAAACAAGAAGCAAAGCATCAACTGTCATGTGCCACCCTAGAAAATCAACTGCAAGTAAAGTTTTGACCAGTTGACAAAGTTAAAGAATGGAAATTATTGATTTAGGGAACTAGGATGCCCTCCTTTTCATTCTTTACTTCAAAAGAAGGTTCAACTTTTAGTCCCATTTTCACTAATACCAAATACAAAATGTGAGATTAATTTCTTGCTTATTTTCATTGTGCCATTCATGAAAATCAACTGCCAAGAAAGTTAGCTCAGCTGACAAAGTTGAAGAATGGTTACAGTCATTTTCGGGACCTCGTATGACCTCTATCCCATTTCAAACAAACAGTAGAGGCTAAGTACGGTCCCCATTTTCCAAAAACTAAAACAAAGAAAAGAAAAGGAGCTTACTTGCGGCAAATCATTTTGTCTTGGTTGTATTTGCGAGCCAAAGCCATCAAAGAAGGCTCAATAATTCCACCTCTCAACCTCAAAACAAGATGAAGCGTTGATTCTAAATAGAAAAAAGAAACAGAAAAACAAATTCAGTTAAGTATCTTATTTTAAAAAAGAATTAAAAATATCATCGAAAAAAAGAAGAAACCTTTCTGGATGTTGTAGTCAGCCAAGGTACGGCCATCTTCGAGCTGTTTTCCGGCGAAGATGAGACGTTGTTGGTCCGGTGGTATTCCTGTTAGTTCAAAAAAGTGAAACTTACGTGATTTTAAGATGGAAAGAAAAGAAAATTCGGTAAGGAAACGGAAGAGAGCAAGTTACCTTCTTTATCTTGGATCTTGGCTTTGACATTGTCAATGGTGTCGCTGCTCTCAACCTCGAGAGTTATAGTCTTGCCGGTTAGGGTTTTCACGAATATCTGCATCTTTTCCTCCTGCCTCTATCTTCCTTTCTTTTACCAGCCTTCACAAAAAAGGAATGAGCCTCTGCGATGATTAATTGTTAGATTTTATAGTCGTTGTCTAGGGTTTCTTTTGGAGGTGAGAATCTATTGGGCTTTTTCTCTTTCGGCCTAAAACAAGAAAAACAACCCATTGGGCTATTAATAATAGGCTTTATAAACTACATAACTGTATAAGCTCGGGTTTTTCTTTTCTTGTTTTTTTTTTTTTTTTTTTTTGCTCACTCATCAGTTCTGTTTTTTGTTTCTTTCAGAAAAATTTTATACCCATCGTATGAAGACTTCTTTTTTATGCAATAACATCTGAAGTTGTAATACATGAATCTTTTTTTTAAACAATATCAAGAAAACAAACGTGAAAGAGATTCCAAGCGTTTTCACAAGTGAAAGAGATTCGCTGTTTGCTAATTCCAACATGGAAATAGGGGACTTTAAATCGACAAACCATGTTTTTTTTTTTTTCATTAGAGAAAATTTTATGCCTTAGTTTAAGTTCAAGCTACATAGTAGACAATATAAATAAAACTCATTGATTTCAATGCAATCCATGAACAATGTTGACCGTAGGCAGAATTCATAAAAGATGAGGCACTAGCTATGCAGTCAATTAAACCTGCCAACAAGACCGATGCCCCTAATTAACTTGAATTACAATTAATGAATCGAAGTTTAAAATTATGTAAAATCCACCAAAAATATTATGTGATATTCATTCTATAATGAACTCCTATATAAAAATTACTGTGATTGAACAGGTTAAATAATCCCCTGAAAAACTAGCAAGGACTGAAAAACTATGACATTGGGCAATATTTTTATCTCAAGATTGAAATTCCGAACGCCATCAAACAAAAGTAAGGCGTTCGTATCTGCCATAACACGTTATGACTGGACAAGGAAAAACAAGGACAAATAAAAGTTAAACTTTAAAGGTGGATTAAAGAGTTGCGCAACTTTTGTCTGTAAATTAAGATCAAAATCCATTCAGGAATTAGAAATGTGCAACAAGAGAACAGGGCGAAGCAAGCTTGAATCTAAACCAGAAAATTGTTTAAAAAAGAAAGAAAACTCCAAGCATCGTCGCAGCAGCAGCAGTAGATGAGTAATAGATATGAAGCAAAAAATCACAGCCTTCTTCCACGTCTTCCACCCTTTCTGCGGGTACTGTCAGTGGGAATAGGGGTAACATCCTCTGAGGTGAAGAACAGGTTACATGTCAGTATACAAGAGGAGTTAAAGTGAATGGACACAATAAAATCTAGAGAAAACGAAAGGATGAAAGAATTGTACCAATGCGTCCAATTTTCATGCCTGAACGAGCAAGGGCTCTAAGTGCTGACTGGGCACCAGGACCAGGTGTCTTGGTCTTGTTCCCTCCAGTAGCTCGAAGCTTTATATGAAGGGCAGTAATACCCAACTCCTGCAGATAACAAACATGAATAGGCATGAGTTTACTGTATGTAACCATGTATTGTGCCACAACTCAAAGGGTAAGCAATAATACCTTGCAGCGTTGAGCAACATCTTGCGCTGCAAGCATGGCTGCATAAGGAGAAGACTCATCCCTATCGGCTTTCACCTTCATACCACCTACATTTGGAAAATGCAAGGAATAAGTTAGAAAAATACCCTTCATACAATAAGTCCAAGCTGGGACATGGATCTCAACACATGTTGCAATGTTTAATTAACATTTTTATTATAAAGTTACAAATGGTTTCCAAATTACTAGTTAGCTTCCTTTGAAAAATCCAATTTTTGGTGCTAGGCAGTTTGAAGTAATAAAACCAACTAAACTATAAAAATCTAGAGAAGGCAATAACAACAAAATCCAAGATAGCAAAAGAAACCATTTTCTAAAGACAAGTATAAGCCATACCAGTGATGCGAACCATTGTTTCCCTTCCAGACAAATCTGTCACATGCTGCAAATTGAATGATAGCATTTCAATAAGAATGAGAAAAAAAAATCAATGTAAACAAAGAAGGTTGTCACTTGTCACTTACTATAAATGTGTCGTTAAATGAAGCAAAAATGTGAGCCACACCAAATACATGCTCGCCCTCTCGAACAGCAGGTCCAAGGTTAGTATTCTCCTCCTTGGGCTCCCTAACCTTTCTCCTTGACTACAAAACACAACAAATCAATATGTCAGCTATCCTATTTGCACCAAGTCAATGAGTAAATCTATCTTATACTAACAAAAACTGAAATAGCCCCCATCAATCTAAATAAACACCGGTGACAGAGATTCCAAGGTTAAATCTAATCTAATTGGTAAATGGTTACAATTTGAAATTTCACAATTCAAGACTAAGACAAAGCTTTGCACATTTCCAATTTTCATTTAGCTTCAGTTTTTCCAGCATAGAATCATAATAAAAGCTAGTGTAAAGTAAATGATACCAAATCCTAAACTTTTTTCTCAGTTACCAAACAAGATATAGCTTAAAATTAAGAATCGAAATAGATGCAAAGAGAGACTTACCATGCTTTTAGGCAAAATGAAACAGATCTGTGAAACTAGGGCTTTTTTAGAGCGCTTTTGCTGATGACGACTCCGGATTTCGAAGAGAAGCCGGGATATGAGTTACTAACTTTTATAGTTAGGGTTTTAATAACCCTGACATATTAAATGACGAAAAGGCCCTTTCATTAGTTAAGGGTAAATGCGTCCTTTTGAATTTAGTTTTTTCTAATTGTAAACAAATGGTTTTGATCTTTTGATATTAAATTTTTTTTAGCTTATCAAAAGCATTTTAATTGCACAAATTGTGTCAAATAAACTTAATTTGGTATTAGTTTAAAAACAATGACGGTGTAGATTTGAAGTAAAAAAAAATTGGAGTTATTTCCTTGTATCAAATTGCAAAATTTTGCACTGACCATCATAACATACCTAATGCATTATAAAATTCCAAGCAAACATTTTTTGTTACATGATCACGAGAATATCTTCTTGAAAATTTGACAATATCTAACATATTTTATTTTTGAAGTTTGATAAAATGTGCAAAATGGTATGAATAACATCCAAACACTGCATTGCAAAAGAAATGGTTTTCACCATGGTTTATTCAAAAGCTTCTCCTTTGTTTTTTTTCTGACATAAACAATATAATTTGCAGCAAATCAATCTTCAACTTCATTGTTAGCATCGTTTGTTAGTTTAACCATTGTTCTTTTCTTTGTTCTTTGACACTATTGCAGGTGTGCAAATGCTGAAAAGGACCAATTTTGTGTGATAGAAAGTTTAATGCTGAAACAACTTTCTGATTCTGATGCGTTAAAACATTAGTCTGCCCTTTATAAATTAGTAAAGTAAAGTAAATTAATTTTAGGGATGATATTGTATGAAGGAAAATTTTATTAATCCAATTGAACGCAATGATGAAATGCCTGTCTCTGAAATTGGAATCCAACATAGAACTAATGTTTCAGCTTTGCTATATCAGATTTTAAGCTTTTAGTTAGCTTGTTCAAAATATAGCATTGGTAATTTGGTTAGAGAAGGTAAAAATACCCAAAATTGATACGTTTCAATCCGATCTAATCTCTTAAGATCGATTTTTTAAAAAAAAAAAAAAATTGGATATCGGATCGGGTTAGATTGGATGACATAAAAAAATTTCGATTTCGAATCGAAATCGAATTTTAGATAAACCTAACTTGATATATATAAAAAAAATTATTTTTTTAATTATTTATTTAATTTTATACATTTTTATATATATTTAATTTTATATTTATATTTAAAATAATATTTTATTTATTTCGAATCGAATCAAATTCGATTTTATACAATATCAAATTGAGTTAAGTTCGGGTATTAAAAAATAAAAAATTATTATATCAGATACGGATACGAATTTTATATGTTTAAAGTCGAATCGAATTTGAAACGAGCAAAAACCCGTCTGCCTCGTTGCCATCACTAAATTTGGTACTTAAATTACAAATATTCAATGTGATTTAGGCTTTAATGTTAATGATCAGATTTGGCTTGCATAAAACCTCAAGTCCTATAAACAATTTTCTTATTACAAGATTTCATATGCACAATATTATTTCAACATCTTGACATGTAGAAAAGTAAAAATGTAGTATGAAAATGGCAAGTCAGACAGATTATAATGCCTCGAAAGTTTGAGTTCAAAATGGAAAAGAAATTCAATTCCCATTCACACATCTAATTGGTTCATCATTCTTGCCATTCCCACTTTCCAGCTTTTTTCAAAAAAAAAAAAAAATCAAATCAATCACTTTAATTTTAATCAGATTGTCTCCCACCTGAAGTAATTGAGACATCTAAAATTTGTGAATTGGAATTTGAACTTTTTTTCCCATAGTTGAAACCACATAAAGAACAAAAATAGCATAAACTATTTATGCTTAGAGGGTTGCAAAATATGAGAAAAAGCTACAAAACCAAATACAAGAAATGCCTCAAGAAGGAAAACCAGGAGGGAACAAATGGAAATCTCAAGAGGAAAACCCTCAAGAAAAACCCTAGAAAAAAACTTCACTATTGCGCAACTATGACTCGAAACGCTTCCATGATTTCAAAAGAAAGGCGATCTTAAGGGCTGCGCTTTTACTTATCAATTTGCAAAATAGAAGGATGAAATCTAAATGAATTTTTTTAGCAAGTAAGCTGTGATGTGAGATGGAGGAAAGCGATGCGAAACCCTAATTTATGGTGGACGCATACAACAGCCATTGAACGGCAGAAGAGAACAGAGATATATAAGTCCATTTTTTAGAACTTTTAAGATCTACAATTGGGCTGATATCTTGGCCTATTGCATAGCTCATTGGGCTGTTTTTAGACTCTGGCAGGCCTCTAGCAAGTGTTTGTGTCAGTCTTCCAAGCAAAGTTGGTAAGGAGCTTCACTTTTTCTTGTTAATATCATTTTGTTTTTTTTTTCTTCTAATTATTTTGAATCTAGAAATGAGTTAGATCGGATCTTATAAGGGAGATAAACTCTCTCAACATCTGTTACTTCCATTTACATGTCTTAAAATCAAGATTTTATTTTAAAAAAATTAATCTAAAATCGAGTAAGATCAAACTTCAAAAAAAATATAATTTTTTTAATTTTTTAATTCACAAAATTTATAACCAAAATCTTATTTAACAAGAATTAAGCTTTTTAGCTACTCGGATCAACAAGCATTGATTTTCTTGTTATCATTTGTTTACGTAGTTTTTGCCTGGCTTATGTTAATGTCCTTTTGCCTTTTCATTATTTTTCCTCACAGGTTTTTCACTCTGACGTACCTAGCATTCAAATTATTTAAACATCCCTGGAAGGACTTGTCTCCTGGTGTTGGTTGAAGATGGTTACTTTATTCTTTTGTGATTTTCTCACCACGGGCCAAATGATGTAGCATTCTGGGCAATTGCAATGTAGGGTTAGGACACCTGATAGCCAAAAATGAAGATGAGTATGTCCTGTAGGGCCTCAGATGTCACTGCTCTCGAGACAATGAGAATGAGTCCTTTAGACCTTGTTTCTAAATCACCTGACTGTGATAGATAGAGCTTTTTCAGCGGTTTGGAGGCAACATATTGGAACATGTGGCACATGTACTGTAACGGTGTTGTCCCATCTTTACGGTATATGGAAATGCTACAAAAACAAGGTGTTCCAGAAGAGTTTACTGTCAAAACATCCGAACCAGAAAGGATCACAATTTCAAAAGGCACCTCTCCTGGATCAGTCAAGTCTAATGGATTTAATTAGGTTTCGTTGCCTATGCTGAGTCTCGCTTGTGAAGAGAATGGGAGTAAGTTGAACCGGACTACAAATTCAGGCAAGCTGAACTGACATCTAAATTTTGGGTGCATATGTAGCACTTTGGTGGTTTCTTGAACTGTCATCTACAGGTTCATTGCCTTCGTAGGGAACAATCCTCCTGTAAGGTACAAATATTATGATCATATACACATGAATTGAAGCTAGCGGATAACTATGGTCGGGACTCCATATTACCTTTAAATAGTATTGCAATTTTTTAGGGAGAAAGAATGCTGGTGGAAGTCGGTAAATATGATTTTGCTGTGCTACTTTCAAAATAATAGCGAACTGTTTAGAGCTGACACCGTCGAATTGCTGTCGCATCCCCCCCCCCCCCCCCGGAACTAGAGGAACTGTAGAACTAAAGACCTAACCATTTGTCATTTGTATGATTCAGCATTGTTTATTAGCTTGGAATTTAATGAGCACTGCCTATTCTAGCTATTAACCATAATATTGCACTTGCCTTGCTATGAAAAAGAGATAGCCGTCGATGCAAATTTGCCTCAGCAGTTATTACCTACGTTTTTGGGGTCTATGGAAAAGGGGTAGCCATTAATATAGACCTCCTATAGTTTGGAATCCAAGCATAAACAAACTCCTCTTGTGGGCAAAAAACACATAGTCAGAAGTGCAATACAAAGAAATGTCGTTAATTCCTTCTTCATTGTTTTACTCCTTTAAGCTAAAAATAGCTCTAATAAATGTATAACATATTTGCGAATAGTCAGGGAAAAGAAAAGCATTCCTGAGCATTAGAATTTGCATTATTGCAATTCTGGTGCTAGTCTTTGACAGAACTCCTTAATATCTTCCCATCATGAATGGGCCTGCATTTACAGGGCAAACAGGAAAACATGAATTCATCTAAATGCTTAAATCCTTAGGAGCAACTTCCAATACAAAAAAGTTTAGTCATTAGTTGAGCGTAAGAACTGTGGCACATTTGAAAATAAGAATTGGACAAATGAGATTGAGGGCATGCATCGGTTAGGGCGTAGGGGTGGAAACCTGTGTTGCAATATATAAGTACAATAAGATATAGGTCAACCAAAGATGACCCATTTAGTTAATCCTCTTGAAACGCTCAACCCAAACGCATCTTGTTTATCAAAAAGGAAAAATAACACAACCCAAATTTTTATGTAGGTCATTTGAGGTTAACTAGACATGGGTATGATTATTTAACCTATTTCATTCACAGAATAATTAGAAAATGTCATTCATAGAACAATTAGAAAATGTCATTTAAGCACAATTATAGCTTATTTAACATAAAATGATTCTATTATAAGCTAACCTTCTATGTTTCCTCACACTCTTATTAATATCAGTTATCATTAATTTTTTTAGCCAATAGTTATCATTCATTCATTATGTTTGTTTTGTAATAGTTAAAATGGCTTTTTGGCAATAAACTGCCATTATAATTCAAGTAAATTTTTGCAAATTCATGCTTTCAAGTGGTTGACAAAATCCAAGTTATGCATTTCCTTTTCCAGTGATTTGGAAAGAAAATTTTATGAAGTTTCAAAAGGTAACATAAGAGGATAATAATTCCATTTGTTCTGAATTGTGGCAATAAATATAAGAAAAATAAAAATGAGCAAAAAACTTACCTGTCATTGCTGTCAGTTTGGACATTACCTAGCCTCTTGATAATTTCCATTCCACGACATACTCTTCCAAATATCCTGTGTTTACCTGTAGACACAATTGTCAGTCAAAGCACTGTGAATGGGGAAACTCCATGTTGTCAATAGTTAAAGAACATGATATCAAATTGTTCAAATACAAGATCACACAGCATAAGGGAGAGAATTGATCTCATAATTCTTATACCAAAACCCACTTTTATGTTTCTTATGTGAAACAACCTAAAAATTTACCAGAAGGAAGGATTTAGAAAAGTAAATACCATTCAGCAGATGAAAATTGTTTTCATCATCTTAATCTATGCAATGGGTTTGGCCTTCAAGGTCAAAGGGGTAATTAGACAACTTATTGATCCAAAGCACAACAAAGAAATAGAAAACCCCTAAAAACATCAACTAACTTCTACTGCCTTCACTTTTTCAACAAGCTCTAAAAATTTTACTGTTATCAATGATAAGCAGGATAATATCCTCAGAAATAGTTCAGGATGAGAGTCTGCCCCGAATAAGATGGACCAATTGGCCTCGACTCCAGTCCAACCCAGCTCATTGACAATTTTCCAGAGAAGTCTAACCTGTACCTCAATAATTCTTAAAACAATTTGAGGCTCGGTTTCCAATAAGTTGGGCCAATTTACCGTGCTACAATTCCAACTTGATTCACAGATAAATTATCCAGAAGTAGTGACCATCACCTTAGAAATTTAATAGCTTTTAGCCTTCACATTAATAAAACTTATAAATTTCGAACAGTCATGTGATCTCTAACAAAGGTATCATGGAAACTACAAGTAAAAGCATTAGAAGAAAATACATTACAGCGGGCAATGACATTTCACTTTGGACATGATAACATAAACAGCTAATAACAAAAAGGATCTCAATATTAAAAATGAAAAAGCAGTTTTGCCACTAGCTAAGTCTTGTGAAATCCACAGATTTCAACAATTTCCTCCAGATATTAACCAAATAATTCTTACTGTACAATGAAGTATAACATAATTCTTGTTGTAACCATGAAGAATAACGTCATTAACATCTAAAGATGGTGCTGGTGACAAAGTAATGAAGAACTGACTTCCATTTGTATTTGGACCAGCATTAGCCATAGATAAAATACCAGCTCCGGTATGCTTTAACTCAGACCTTGTCTTATCATCAAATACAGGACTTAAATCAATGGCAAAAACAAAAAATCAGTAATTAAAATCAGAAATAGAAATTTCACTTTTTGTATAATAAAACACCACCAAAACTGCCAACGATCGAAGCAAACAGATGTCAAAACAATATAAATCTATGTTAACAAAATTTTTACAATGTAACTTCCAGGGCTGAAATCCATAACTAAAACATCAGCTTTTATCACATTAAATAAATAAATAAACAAAAAAGTCATGGGTATCCTCCAATATCAATTATGAAAAGTCTAGAAAGCAATAAGAGATTAAGCTCTTAGTAACTCATGCTAAAAGAAAAACAAAATACCCATAAATAGATTCTTCACCTTTTGCAGTCCCTGTTGGATCTCCACCCTGAACTATAAAATCCTACACCAAAACAACCATATACAGCTTAAAAAGCTAGTTACAAAAAAACCCAACGAGAAAAATTAAAAAGAACGAAAAGAAACCTTGATAATTCTGTGGAATTTGACACTATCATAATAACCTCTCCTGGAAAGTTCAATGAAGTTCCTACAAGTTCTTGGTGCATGCTTGTAATATAGCTGAAAATCCCAGTAAAAAACGCAAAAAAAAAAAAAAAAGAAAAAATTTTAAGCTAATGTTCATAAACCCAATATCTACTGAAGGGTTTTACCTCAACAGTGAAAGAAGACATGGAGGTTTCTAGAGTAACTTCTGGCAGACCTCCCTCTGAGCTTGCCCACATTTTTCAAAGAGAAAAGAAGGGGTTTTCTGACTATGGCTTCTGCTGAAGGGAAGTTGGAAAGAGCAGACAAGAAGAAAATAAAGCAATTTTATATGGGAATATACAAGATTACATGGCCGGTTCTAGATAGTTTTAAAATGGGCTTTCATTATACAACTCGGGCCTTTTATGATTAACTGTTTATAGGATTCTTTTGAATCGAAGCCTGCCTTGCTTCTTTCTCCTACAACTCGTGTCTAGATCGTCGTTTTGGTATTGTTGGATTAGAGAGGTCAGGTGGGATTTAATCGACTGATTAAGAGAATAACACACTTTTGTGAGTTGGTATATTGTCATACGTTTTGTTTGACTTAATTACAAATTCCTACTCCACCTCTCTATTTATTGTGTCCATTGGACTTTCTGACTTTGAAATAGAAAATAAAAAAGATGGATTGGAGGGGAACAAGCATTATCCCGGACGAAGTTGGTAGGAAAAAATATACACGATAATTTATATATTTATGTGTATAAAATATTTAAATTTATATATTTTTATTATTTTTTATATTAAAATTATATATTATAATTTATATTTATATGAAAATATAAAATATATTTTTAATGTTATTAAATTTTTATTAATTATTATTAAAATTTTAAATCACATCATTTTATATTTTTTATTTATATTTAATTTATATCGTGTCATTTTATTATATTTTAAATTATTAAATTAAAAAAAATTTGATTTCGTAGCATTTGTTTTGTTGACTAATTCCGACAAGAACATCAGAAATAATGAGACAAATCTGTATCTCAACCAACTTCAATGGTATATTTTAAATATTTCTAGTACCATGAAAGAGGATGGCCAAAGGATTCCCCTGCTCCAATAACAACATAATGTATTGATTTTTCTGTCAGCAATGCTTTCGTAACCAACCACTCTTTCCCTATTGAACCCTCTATAAAAACTTCATCCTTCAAGCCATTTTCCATCACAACAAGGCCTTATCCCTAAAAAAAAAAAAAAAAACTAAATTTCCTCGCTTTTTCTTTCCATCAAAAAAATGAAGAGCGGTGATCATGCAACCATTGATGTTCCAGAGTCGAGCGCTGTTGCAAAAGGCAAAGCACCTCTCATTGCTACGCCCAGGGAGCAAAAGAGCGGATTCAAGAAGGGATTGGGCATTTTCGACTTCCTTCTGAGACTAGGAGCCATAATTTCAGCTCTAGCAGCTGCTGCCACCATGGGAACCAGCGATGAGACTCTTCCTTTCTTCACTCAATTCTTCCAGTTCGAAGCTAGTTATGATGATCTCCCCACATTTATGTACGTGATTATACGTATAATATATTAAACATAAACATATATATATTATCTGAAGAAACTGAGACGCAAATATAACTACATATTGAATTTGTTTGCAGGTTTTTTGTCATAGCAATGGCATTAGTTGGCGGCTATCTCGTCCTTTCCCTCCCCTTCTCCATAGTTACTATCGTCCGCCCTCATGCAGTTGCGCCAAGACTCCTCCTATTCATTTTGGACATTGTAAGCACTCCATCCCTTAAACAAACATCGCCTACCTTTTTTTTTACTTAGCATATGAGTCGAGAAAAATGTCAACGTTTTTCGTGTATATATATGGCAGGTGGCATTGACTCTGACCACTGCTGCCGGGGCCGCCGCAGCAGCCATAGTCTACTTGGCTCACAATGGTAATCCTAACACAAACTGGCTAGCCATCTGCCAACAATTTGGTGATTTTTGCCAGAAAGTGAGCGGAGCTGTGGTGGCATCCTTCGTGACTGTCGTGGTCCTCATGTCGTTGATCCTACTGTCTGGTTTTGCTCTCAAAAAGCACTAAAAAATATTAGTGCTCACTGCTCATGAACAGACATAGACATTTGTTACAACTCGATAATTATGTGTCCTAATTTCCCAAGTTTTTTTTTTTTTAAGTGTGTTTATAATATTAAAAATATCATTGTTTCGCTGTCCGAGGTTCTGTTGTACTTGGGGAAACTGCGATTTATGTAATGTAATTAACGTGCTTGGTTTTCAACAAATCCACCTCTTTTTTCATTTTTTTAATATATATTCTCCCCTTATTATTTTTTTCTATTGACTTTAACGTATCTTTAAGTATTTAATATTATAAATTTAATTTTTTATAATATTAATTCATGTATAGACTTTTTATTGTCAGAAAGTAAAAAGCATATGAATTTGGCTAATTATATATAAGGAAGAAAAATCAAAACAAATAGTAAATTCAAGTCAAGTCATATTATTTTGTATAATCAAATTTTAAAAGTTAAAGCTTGTGCCAAGTATACAATCCTTATCCAAGTATATGCCTTTTATGAAGACTGCATTACTCATAAAAATATTTTATTAAAAATCTTAATTTTATAAAAAAAATTTAAACAATTAAATTTTTTAAAATTATTAAAAATTATAATAAAAAAATTTAAGTCAATCTGATTTATATAATTATATAATTTTAAATAAATTTGAATTATAATTCTATCATTAACAATTCGTTTTTCTATCCTTAAACAAATATTTTTTTTATAAAAAAAATAGTAATAACTAATTTAATAAAATAACAGAGGTTGAGAGTTAAGTTAGAGTGGAATTTATTATTACAATATGTTTGGATAGAAGGGAAAAGAAAATAAAAGAAAAATAATGAAAACAGAAAAACCTTTCATTTATTTGAATAAACTTTTAATTTAAAGGAAATGAAAGAGTTGAAAACTCAATAACTTTTAGTTTTTTTATCTTTATTTTTTTTAATACTCTAATTTAAGGGAAAAGCTGAGGAAATGAAAGCTAAAAAAATTTTATTTTTATAACAAAACTATTATATATAACTTTTTATTAATACCAAAATTTGGTAAAAAAAAAATTTTAACCACATCACAATCTTTTTATAATTTTTTTAAAGTCATATTTTTTTCAAGTAAGTTTCACATGTCTTTTTTAATATAAAATTTTTTTATAAATTTTTGATGATTTGATCTCAATGAATGATTGAATATGAATAAAACATATTTTTTAGGTTTATGAGATCTCAAAGTGATAATGTGCTGAAATTTTGATAATAGTCAACAAATCCATTAATGCATGTTTGTAAAATATTTTTTTATTTTACTTGATTAAAAACCACTAATATAGTAACAATTGTGAGACTAGATAAGATAGCAAACATATTATGATCCATAAATGTACTATAAAATCACAAATAATGAAAAGTTATAATTGAAAAAAATTATTATAATGAATCATTTGTTTTATTATTTATTCAAATAATGGTTGTTAGAATTCATTTATTTTATTTTATTTTATTAATTTTAATTATTCAAATAAATGGTACATGTATCATTTTTTTATTAATATTTATTCAAACATAACGTTAGTATATTATTTTACTTGTAGTTAATAAGATTCTGATTAAAATAATTTTAAAAAAATATCATATGATTTTATCATTCATTTAAAGTACAAGTAATTTCATATGAGTTTATCTGATTTAATTTAAAAAATTTTCCACTTTTTTGTAAAATTCTAGAAGATAGAAGGCTATTTTGGTCATTTAAGAATCAGTAAGGTAAACTACCAACTGTCGAATCGCAATTATCTAGAGAATAGATTAACGAGTGTTCAACTCTCAGTATCGTTTACGGTATTTAAAAAAAAAAAAAAAAAATCCCGGGAAAATCATCAAGAAAATCGAGTTTAGGGTTTAGGGTTTCATATTAATCGAATCGAAAATGTCTCAGACTGGAAAAGTGATGCCGAATCTCGATCAACAGAGCACGAAGATGCTCAATCTCACTGTTCTCCAGCGAATCGATCCTTTCATAGAAGAGATTTTGATCACTGCCGCTCACGTCACCTTCTACGAATTCAACATCGACAGTAATCAATGGGTTCGCTTTCTCAAAAATCTATTTTTAAGTCTTTGGAATCTTAAATGTTTATTTTGGATTTGGTTTAACACTTGGATGTTTAAAATTTTTAAGTTTTTTACTTTTCAGTTTTAGATCCTTTCTCTTCTGTGTTTTCAATCATTTTCATTTTTTTTTATTTTCATATTTAGAGTCGAAAAGATGTTGAAGGATCTCTCTTTGTTGTTAAGAGGTAAAATAAGTTAATGATTTTGAGCTTTTTTAGCATTAACTTTGTTAGAAGCAGGTAATTAACTTGGGAAATTGATTTAGCTTATGGTAATGATTGATGATTGTGTCCTTGGTTTTAACTTGTAAGGAATACGCAACCTCGGTTCCAGTTCATTGTAATGAATCGGCGTAACACAGGTTCAAATTCTTAATCTTAATGAAAGAGCATGGGCATTTTCTTTTGCCTGATTTGAGATTAAAGCTGTTTTTAACAAACAGATAATTTAGTGGAGAATCTGCTGGGAGATTTTGAGTACGAGGTTCAAGTTCCATATTTGTTGTATCGAAATGCAGCACAAGAAGTTAATGGCATTTGGTTCTATAATCCGCGTGAATGTGAGGATGTTGCAAACCTCTTTAGTAGGTATAGCATCTTTCTTATCTTTTATCCATTTAGCTGATGTTTAATAATCAACTTTGAGCATGGTTATCCCAAGTGAATTCAAACATGGAGGTTTAGATTTTTTATATCTTATATGTTGTGTTTTGTATATTACTTAATTATTATTTTTCACCCAAAGGAAGGGTTTAGTAGTTGAAGGCATTCCTTTGATGTGTGGTTTTTATTTGACACCACCCTTCTAGTTTATTGTATTTTTTAGTAATCGAGATTCTAGACAGGTGGGGTCAGTGCACTCTAATATGTCAAAGAGATAATATATGTGTTTTTGGCTCCACAACCTATCAAGTTTAGACTTGTTAATGATTTGCACTAGGGCATGTTGCAATATCTAAAACAAAAGTTCTCTTGAATTTACAGCAATTTTTAAACTTTCCTAATTTAAGAATATTCTATGAAAGTGATCAAATAAAATTTATATCAATGTGTTTTGTGAGTTATGATTTCAATAAGAGAAGTTCTGAGTCTGTTTCTTTGGGTAGTTTAAATTGTAAACTTGTATTTGTTGTCTTCTTTGCAGAATACTTAATGCATTTTCAAAAGTTCCTGCAAAGCCAAAAGTATCTTCAAGCAAAAGGTAATGATTTTTATGAAGCATCTATAAGGAAGTTATTGCTTTTTCAAGCCTTAGAACATATTTAATTGTTGAATTTGCCCCTGTAGCTTTTGGGATGTATGTATTTGTTTTACCTTCCATTTTAGTGTGTTGGATACCAAACGCTATTTTGGACGGAGTGATGTCTTGTCTATTGTCTGTTTTGCATGTTTAGAGGGTCCTTTGGATCTGAGGTAAGGTAGTATTGCAAACAAGTGAAGGATTGAGGTAAAGGTGGTAGAGAGGAGGACTAGAGTGGGTGCGTGGTACCAAATGTTGATGACAGGTGAAGGAAATAGAAGGTAGGGAGTGGATGGAATACAAAATAGGAACTGGAGAATAGGGAACTTGTAGAGGGTGGAATTAAGAACTGGAATTGGTAGTGTATCCTGGAAGTAGCTGAGTGAGACAAGAACCTTACATGAAAAGTTTATTGTTATAACAATGAGCCTCAACTCCCATATCTATAAGTTACAAGGTGCCTATAATATAATTCAATAGATAATACCTGCAAGACATGCTAAGTCAATGGGTAACTTGTAATTTTATGATTAGCCAGAATGCAAACATCTAGATCATGTAATATAAATGATTATCACAGAATTTAATGATTTTGATGTTCACCCTTGAAAATCCACAATCCTAATGGTAGATTATCTCTCCTGGCGGTCTATGCTGCTGGTCACATAATTTCTTTGCCTTTCTATAGCATCCAAGGTTTCTAAGCTTATTCGTTATTGTAATACAGTGAATTTGAGGAACTAGAAGCAGTTCCTAGCATGTCTGTAATAGAAGGCCCCTTGGAGCCACCAGCAACTGTCTCTCCTGCCACTGATGCGCCTGAAGATTTGTCATTGGTTAACTTCTTTAGTGTATGTTACTGCTGATGGTCACCTTTGGCTTTTCGAGACCTAATATTTATCCAATGTCCTTGATCTCAAATTTATTTGGTTCACTAATTTCAGGCTGCTATGAATCTTGGAACTAATGCTCCCAATGGTACAAATTCAATACAGCCTTACCATCCTATCTCAACCACCCCTGTGTCTTCTCATGCACCACTTGCCGTCTCTGCTCCTGCACCAACTCTGTCATTGTCATCCCTTCCTCTTTCTTCTCCACCTTCACTTGATTCGGTAAGTAGCAGTCACCGAGTAACCAATCTTGTTAAGCCTTCTTCATTTTTTTCACCCCCTACCTCATCTTCATCCTCATTGATGATGCCACCTATCTCTTCATCATCACCTACTGCTTCTGCTCTTCATCCACCCCTCAACCTGCAACGACCTTATGGCACTCCACTGCTTCAACCCTTTCCACCACCTAGCCCACCACCTGCATCTCTCACTCCTGTTGTGCCACCTACTTTGCACAACGCACCTCTTATTAGCAGGGATAAAGTCCGTGATGCTCTACTAATGCTTGTTCAGGTATTTATACTATTTTCTGCCTCTTGGTTCCTGTTTTTAACTTATAATGCTTATTAATAGCAGCTCATATGGCTTGAGTATGATGACTAATTAGCATTCAGCGAAAAGCTAAATTGAAAAGAAAAAAAAAAGAAGATAAATAAAGAAAAAACTGAGTAGAAAATGCAAATGCCTCTGAGAAAGAGAGATTCAATAAGTAGTATTGTCCAACTGTGGATATCTTTGCCCGTGGAGCAGGATTGATGAGAATTCTTACTAGGATTTCAAGACTGAATTTGGTGTGGTATGCTTGGAAGACCACTAATAAATTCCTGGTGCATACACATTATACGTAATTTGAAGCCTCCTTATGGTGTAGGCTTCTTGTTATTGACTGACTCTTTGTTTTGTTCTTCTTATGCCAGGATGATCAATTCATTGACATGTTCTACCAGGCATTGCGAAAGATGCATCATTCCTGAGCTCTAAAGTTGATCCTCAAAACTTCATTTCAACATTCCATGTGCACCATGTACTTTTATTTTCTTCAGTCAGGTATCTTAACTTTGATGCTTGATTCAATCTACCCTAATTGTTAATGGAGGACAAGGTGTGAAATCATAATCTGGTAGCATTCAAGCTTGTATAGCTGGAGTTGATGCATAAAATTAAAATGTGACTCAAAGTTTGCTGATGTGGCAAAAGGCTGTAGCCCACATAAAAATAAACCTAAACTTTCAACATGCACAAAAAAAAAAAAACTGAAATTTTAGGGCTGAGAGAAGAATGAGAAAATAAAATTCTCCTTTGTTTCCTTTACCAAACAAGGCCACCATTGCACCATCCTTGTCAAACTTCATCCTTGCTTTCTCCACTTATCACCATTTTGTCAATGTTCATCCTTGCTTTCTCCTCTTATCACCATTTTCTCTCTGTACCCGTTAGCTTGCTTTCAGGTGGGAGAGATCCATTGTCATTGGTATCTGGAGTGTGTTTTTCTCTTCACTTTCTGAAATGTGCATCGTATTTGGGTGGTGGATTGTGGCAGCTGTAGCGGAGGATAAGGTGAATAATTACCGTGTTACTTTCAGTTCAGGAATTTCAGTAAACCTTATGGCAAGTGTTTTCGTGGACTCTAATCTGCTATGATTTTAGTTGATCGAATCAGTTATTGAAGATTGAATGCCTAGCTCAACAAAGTAAAAGTCTGAGGTGTGCAACGGACATTGAATAGAGTTTGAGGGTTAATTTGGCGTTTAATCTTAAAGCAGTAATGGACTTCACCTTGCTAGATTTCTTTGATTGCTCAATGATTGTAAAATTGATTCTGTTTATAGTATGACCTTGGAAGCATTGGAAGTTTGGTTGAACATCATTGTATCCTTTCTTTGGTGGAGTGTAATAGTAGGAATAGAACTTTTCTTTTCTTCCCCATAAATGTTTAATATGTATGATATAAGTTGCTTGGTTGTTTAGGATTATGCTAGCATCTGTCAAACATTCTGCTAATGTTACTTTACTGCTAAAAATTTACTATTTAGCAACTAGAGGAATACAGCAAGAGCACCATTTTGTCCAAAATTTATGTCATTGTAATATTTTGGAGGGGGAATTGACCGAGCTGGACATACCGTATGGGGGAGAAATTTTTAATGTCCTGCCGTAGCAACTGGTGAGGCTTGCTAATAAATTGATCTTAAAGTATGAATCTATCATTTTGTATGGGGCGATAATGTGGTTCATTTTGGAAATTGATTTACGTTATATTAGCGACTTGTTTATGTGATGTTTGTAATGTGGAATTCAGCAAAAATCAAATAAATAAGATAATAAAATAGTCTTCTATGAACGTTTTAGAAGTTGAAGGGAAACAAAATATGCGATCATTGACATTGTTTCTCATCCCTTTTCCAATTTTAAACCGTTTACCACAGTATATTAGAGCTGACGCATAGAAGTTATAAATTTAAAAGAATTTATGCACTTAATATTTTCTTTAGTCAGGATAAAGGGTTCATATTAAAATTTCCAAAGAAAATAAATAAAACTTGCAGTGATGCGTTTGTTCACAAAGTTTTTTTTAGTCTAAAATGGTATATTATCAATGGACTTTAAGTTAGGCCCACGAAGACAGCGGCTTCATTTAGGATCAACCCACCCAACACACAGTATTGTCAACTGTGGCACGACCCAAAGGGATCCCGTTCGGGTTTTTTGGCTCTGGCCTCTCTCTCTTTCTGTGTCTTTGCAGTGGACATGGCGGCACTCAGGAGACTTATTACGGGAAACCCAAAACACTCTTCCCTTTTTCCTCCAACCCTTCTTATCTGTCGTAGAGGTATCGCCTCTAAGCTCTTCGTTGGAGGTATTCTCTTTCTCTCACTTTCATCCACTTTCATCTACTGATTTCTTTATTTTTTATTATCTATTATCTTAATATTTTCTGCTAGAGAATCCTCAGCTTATCCTGTAAATAGAAATACTTGATCAATAATGGGATATTTCTTTGAAAAATTTCCTCCTGCTCTAGATCATTTCAATTACAAATTCATAGTTATTTTAGGCTGAAATAACTTGAAACTAACAAACCCAAATGCTAAATCTGTGTATAATAACTGATTACATTGGTATTTTTATCAGTCAGTAATTACACTTATAACACTGTACAAAATATTTGCTTAAATCTCATTGTATTACCTCTTTACTCATTACATTCTTTGAAAATTTTCTTTTGTAAACAGGTCTATCCTTTTACACCTCGGAGAAAGGATTATTGGATGCATTTTCTCAGTATGGTCAAGTTATGGAAGGTCAGTAGGTGATTGAATCCTTTTATGTCATGATATTGAGCGATAGTCTGAATCTTTTATGAATTTATACTAACATTGTTTACTTCTGCCAGCCAAAATTGTAACGGATAGAGTTTCAGATAAATCAAAAGGTTTTGGATTTGTTACTTATGCATCTGTAGATGAAGCTGAAAAAGCAATAACTGAGATGAATGGAAAGGTACAGCATTCTTTTCCTTTCCTTTATCTTTTATATTGGGATCTTAGTAGTTTCAGAAATAACAAAGTGATTATTGACAGGATTTGAATGGACGTGTTATTTTTGTGGACTATGCAAAACCCACAACTAAATTGGGTGGTGGAATGCCTATAGCCAGGGGACCTCCCGATCCAATAGCCAAAAGCTGATTGCGTTTACAAAGATATACATACATTTCAAAGACACTGCCAGTGAGATACAAGCTTATATTACATACTAAACATATTATCTTAATAATTCCTTTGCAAAATGTGTTTATCAGTCATTTCAGATCCATCTAGCCATCCAGAGGACTGCTGAGCACTAGAAGCAAGAGCTGATAGAAGTTTGCATAAAAATCTCACGGTTTAAGAATCCAGTAAGGAACATCGACTACTAAACTTCATAGGTTGTTTCAGCCCTGTAGTATTTATTATAGTTGCTCAGATAAGATGCACTTAAAGACTGTTTAAGTAGCAGACACTTAGAGCTCACTGCAAGAAGAAGAATGGTTAAGATGGTTTTATATCTTATTAATGTCGATTATGTTTCTCTTTATTCTGTAAACTGTTTTCCTTTTAACTAAGATTGGTTAATTTATCGCTAGTGTGTCAAGTTTATGCCAGTGATCCATATAACTTGGTGAAATCTTCATTCATTTGGAAGATTAGTTCAGATTTATGCATGGATAATCAAACTGGTGGGAGTGAAATAGGAAGACTTGGATGATATCTTGTTTTCTGTGGTGCTGGTAGTTGATATGCAATTACAATAGCCCTATGAGCAAAAGCTGTGTGTGACTCTCAGCCTTTGCATCACTTTCTTGGAAGCCAAACAAAAGATTTTTAGGTAATGAAGAAAGCAAGGGCAACACTCGCAACCATGTTTTTAAGGCATGAACAAAGCACATTATCAATTTTAATGTCTTGTCTAACCTGTGTTTTACTTATATAGCATAAAGGTTTTTTTCTTAAATGACTTGGTTTTCTCGTACATAGGCCACCTAAAACCATGAGCCTCAACACAGTTCTCTGTAGAGAGTATAATTGTACATAAACAATCATTGGTATGGTTCTGATTTTCTACTACCCAAACCATAGCTCCAAACAAAGTGGATTTTTATTTTCTTCTTTCCTTCTTCAATCCAAACATGTAGTTAGAGCAAGATCTTGCTTGAAGTTTTTGGGAAAAGAGTGATCATTGATCATGTGAAGATGTTTACCATGTTTGAATTGATGATGGCCTAACCTAAAGACAATAAGGACAACTACCTAATTGTTTTTGCTAGAAACAGATAGAAATGTGACAACTATTCAGTCTTTAATTATAAATAAATAGAAGTTGTTATAGTAATCAATCTCTCGATTTAACAGGAAACTGCCCCCCTCCCCCAATGCACCAAGGCAGCGACAATATTATATTTAACGTCCACCAGAGTGATTTGATTGACTGTTAGAAATTTTAATTTTAATGGGCAAAATTTAATCATCGATAATTTCAAGTTGTCTTCACGCAATAACTATGTTTTAGCATATTCTTGGCAAATAAATTTTGAGTAAGGATTTTGTTAATTATTTTTTAATGTTACAATATTAAGTAATACTTTTTTTGAAAGGTGAGAAAAAGATAAAAAAGATTTGATTGAAAATCGTAGTATTCGATTTAATTTTAATTTTTTTTATTTTGTTTGAATTAAATTCGAATATTAAATATTTATATTAAATTCAGATTAGATTTTGGATCTAGATGTAAAAAATATAAATATTAAATCAAATTGAATTATATATTTTTATTAATTTTTATAAAATAAAAATAATTATTTTATATATATATTTATTTAAATATATTAAAAATCTTATATAAAAAATTAAAAATTAAAAACTTATGAATCGAATCAATAAAATTTGATTTGAATCAGATTAGTTTCAAAAGAAAATAGGTTTAGATTCAGATAAAATTTTAAAAATTTAAAATGATATGCATTATCCACAAAAACTGAATCGAATTCAATTTAATTCAAATTATTATCACCTTTACTTTTTTTTTTCATGCATTAAAATTCATCATACTAATTGTGAAGTATAAATAATATAAAAATATTTTTTTAAATAATATTTTAACTAATCTTAAAAATCTCTGTAGAATGCCGGTTTATAGTTAAATTTCTTAAATTAAAATAAGGATCGAAAAAGTCTTTGAATTATGTGAAAGATTGCTTGACAAACAGTGCATTTCAAAATTAACACAAACAAAAGTTTCTTATATCGAAATTAAATGAAACTATACTTTTTAGCTTATCATATATTTTTTTGTCTCTATAAGCTAGTTTTAATTGAATTAATTTTTTTGAATTTTTTTTATCTTTTTATCTTAACAAAAAAAATAATACTGAAGAAGCAAACGCCATAACCCCAAACGCAACGCAAAGCATATCCAAAATTCCTTCCCTCATAATTTTCTTTTCTTTCCTTTCTCTTTTCCTCTCCAAAAACTCCAAAAATTCCTTCTTCCTTTCCTCTTCCTTTTTCTTTACTTTTCCTCTTTTACCCTCCAATCCTCTCTTCAAAATTACCAAGCTATCCCTACCCTTCAAATACATCCCATCCATGTCCTCCACCTGCAAACTCACCTCCCTCACGTGCATTTCCCCTCTCGCCGAACCCCCGCACGTGACCACCACCCCGCACTGCACCAATTCCGTCGCCGCCCCACTCCTCCCGCCGGTCACTACCGACGCGAACTTCACCTGCACATCCCCGCTTAGCCAGTGCCATTGTATGGTCACCGGTCTCTGACTCGAGAGATTCATTGCCCGTTTTCCTATCGGGTCGATCACGATCCAGCTCAGCTCCATGCCTTCCTCCAGATCCCTACACGTGTCCTCCGTGTCAGGGTGTGGTATCCGGGTCGAAAACGCTTCTTTCGGACCCAATAAATCCACACGAAACGGTGAGCATTTGAACCATGCAGTTACTGTTTCTGTTTCGACGACTTTGCTGAAAATGAGCTCTTTTTTGTAATAAATATCCACAGCTGAGATTAATTCCGATGGAAGGTTAGGATTTTCTGACGAGTTTCCGAAGCTCACGGGTTCCATGGCTAATGGGAAGGCGTCGGAGAAAAAGGAGCTGGAACCGTTGGGGAAGTTAGAGATGACGTGGAAAACACGTGGAGATGTGGTAGAAGGCCACATAGAGTGACAAATGTTGGTCCAGAGGTTTTCGTGTGACGCGAGTGCACGGAGTTGCGTGGAGGAGCAGGAGGCGGATGCCAGAGTTGGGCCGTCAAGCCGGGTCAATATGTGGGTCTCTATGATATCTGGATGGATGGTAGAGATTGCTGCTGCGATGTCCTGATCTACGGTGTTCATGTCGGGGGAGCAAGCTGATGGTTCTCGTGGTGAAGTGGAGGAACGGGCCACAGTGTTAGTATTTTTTTTTTTTTTTGTGTGTGTTTTGAAAGCAGCGGGTTTTTCTATGTGTTTGGAGTGGTGCAAATGGAAGCACCCTTATAGGAGTTAACTTAAGGAGTTAAGGCAGGCAATGCAAGAAATTGATAAATACCCTTTTCTTTTAAATTAATAACAAAAGTGCCATTTAAAATGTTAACTGTTAACTGTTCTGGGACCAGTATTCATTAAATGGTCTGGGTCATGCAAATTGCAATGGTTTAATGACTTAAAATTTTTTTTTTTTAATTTTAACTTTTTATTTAAATAATTTTGTATATTTATATTGTATGTAAATAAACTTTTTATATTTAGTTTGAATTTAAATTAATTTTTTATTTTTTATTTGAAATAAGAGTTTATTTTAATATAAAATTAACAAATAAAATTTATTTAAATATAATAAAAATATAAAAATTTATTTTAAAATATAAAATTGTTCAATTTTTAAATATTTTAACCATTTTAATTTATTTTTTTTGTCCTTTTTTACTTTTTTTGGAATTAATTAATGATTTAATGTCTATCTTTTGTTTTTTTACTACAAATAATATCTATTTACAGCTATTTTTATATATCAAAATATAGAAAATGTCATAACAAATAAAATTTTAAAGAAAATTTTTTCAAAATTGAAAATAAATTCTCAAAAAAAAAACAAACAAATATCTCTATAAATTTAAAAAAAATCTAAAAAATAGATACAATGGAAAACTTATGCATGGATTTAAAAAGAACTTTTAAATTAACCAAAACCTTTTTATTTAAAAAGAAAGAGATTTAAGCCTAATTTTTAAAATAAAATGATACATAATTTATCTCTTAATCAAATACGTGTGCATTATAAACTATTTTAATTTACATGTAATTTATATAAAAAAAATTCCAATACTTTTTAGTGTTGTATTAATCTCTCACTTTAGATTTTAGACTAACTAAGCCATGTTATCGGACTTAAGTTAATCTTACAAATACAATACTATTTAGTATTTTGATATTTATGTGTGATTCTTTCATTGATTTTATGTATTAAAACGATAATTTTTTAAATTATAATCATAATTAAGTATTATATTTATATACTTAATTATTATATCATAATAAAATACGATTATCAAATAGTTTATTAACAAATTAAAATATAATTAAATAATCAATTTTACATAAAGTGTGACGTGAATAATCAACTTGGATTAATTATAAGGTTTAGTGCAACTCTAATAAAATCAAATAAGGTTTTAAAACCTGAAACTTAATGCATGTCAACATTAGATATTTATTAAAGATGCATAATAAATATTTGTTACAAACTTGCCGGCCTTTATAAACTTCTTAATATTATTACCTGTGCTTGCCCCCACCCCGGAGGGTACTTTTGGGTTCGGGAACTGCTTTGGCGAAGCTCTAGATGGCCTTCAAAAGGCAGTCCAAAGCCGATGAATGTGAAATTACGTATTCTTTGTGATGGATATGCTTTTTCATTGTTTATTTATTTTTAAAATAAAATAAGTTTTAAAAGCTAAATCGTTTCCAATTGATGTAACACTAATACTATTATTAGTAGTATAAAAATATATATTTTAACAATGGTAGAACTAAAGTCACATCATTTTAGGTTTTGTTACATTTTTTCAACATTTTGCAGCGTCTAGTCTCATTAGGCAAATAAAGTAAGGATACACCATTGGATTAAATAAAGAAAAATAAAGAAAAAAATTGGTCATAAACAAAGATAATTATAAATTAAGTAAAAAACATTACATTATTAATATCCTATTTCTCACACATACACAAACAAAACAATCCAAATTCAATGGAACTCTAAAAGTCATCTACAATTGTTTCTCTATTCTTTTTTTTTTTTTCATCAATTTTTTTAGGTTTGTCCGCTTATTTATGTCTCATCCACTTGTCATTAATTTGCTTCCAACTTTCAATTACATATAGTTATGTGAAACTCCATAAACTCAAATATTTAATGTAATGATAGGTGCATGTAATTATTATATGACAAACTTAGATTTTAATTATTAATGGAGTCATTGAAATCATTAGTCATATAAGATAACGTGGTAAATTCTTGTTAAAATTCAATCAAAATAATGAAAAAAATAAATAAAATTATGAGCTAAAATGAGACATTTTGCAACAATCAATGACTATATTGATCATCATGCTTATCAATAATATCTTCCTTATTGATTGTTATTATACAAATATAATTGAGATATTATTATATCAACGTTTGCTGGTTTGAGTGACAAGAAATTTGATTTTTTTAAAAAAATATTTTGATTTTTAAATTTTATGAATAAAAAAAAAGTTTGTACGAGCTTGACTCTTTTATTGGATTTGACCTATTTGATTCTGAATTAATCGGAGCTTAAAATAATTATTAGACACTGAAAAATCTTAAAAAATAAAAAAACTAAAATGTTATTATAAATATAAATTATTGATAGCGATCATGAATGGATTATTGGGAGAAGATGCAAGTGGTAGCTATAAAAGGAGTTTGTTACGTTTCCTTTTCATTTATAATAATTAAGTTTGTCGACAATGAGTGTAAAAAATATTTAATGATTTGAACGCAGATATTATTATTTAATAAAATATTTTAAAGTATTTGTTAGTAAAATTTTATTTTTAAATATTAAATGTTTTTGTATAATTTTTAGTAATCTTAAGTGATTTTTAGTTTCTTTAATGAATGACGGTATTTTTTTTGCATAAAATAACTAAATTAAATGGTTATACATTATTATTAAGAAATGTTTAGCTTTAGCATTAATTTAACTAATTAAATTCAAAATTTTAAAATTATTAATTTATCTTTAAATCCTTTTACTTTACTATATACTTGACTCAAAAATATATTAAACGTCTAAATTCTCTCAAAGCTATAATTTTAAATAAAAAATAAAATTAAATTCGAATTTTCTTTCTTCCAAATGAACAAAGGAATAAAAATGGGATAAGATTTGGATAAAAAAACTTTTATTTGATTTTGTAAATCGGAACAAAATTTGTTTCTCACATCAAACTCTTATGAAGAAAAAAGCCCAAAAAGCGAAAATGGGCTTGATGGCCTATAAAAAAATGGAAAAGGCCCAAACCAAATAAAATGCTTAAAAAAGAGCTAGAGGGTTGCGGTAATATTTCAATCCTTACACGTGGCACCACATAAACATCCAAACCTCCGCCCCAAATCATTTCTTTGGATTTTTCATTCAATTTTCAAAAAGAAAGGAGACGAAGACGATCCCTGTTTGGTGACTATCCGTTTCTCCACGTATGCGGATAAAATTAATATTAAAAAAAAGAACAGACCCTCCCTCTCCCCTCTGTATGCCACGTCATTAGAATCTCATTTTCATTCTTTTCACTTCGAGCAAACACTCCGTTTCTTTATTTATTTTTTTCAACATTTTTCCCTGCATTTTTTCCCGCAATCCAAACGCCAAAAGTTTTCCCGTCGATTCTCCCTCACAGTTTGTACATGTCGATTAAATTACATTATCACAGTTTTGTATATTCAAGGTGCTTAAAATTCTTCCTTTTTTCTCTTAAATTTGTTCCTTCATTCAAGTATTGTTTAATTTTGGTTTTGGCCAAGTAATTTAGGTTTTTATTGAAGAGAATCCGTATAAAATTAGTCATCGAAACTTTTTAAACTGTTTTTTATCGTGAAAATTTGATGCTAAAAAAAACTAAGGTGAAGAAGATTCGAACTATTTTATTTTTACACAATTTCTCATTATTTAATTGATTAATCGCTTCTATATGTCTGATTTATGGCGAATTGTTTCGTTTCCTTTGCAAGCCAAACGGTTCGATAAGTTTTTTTTTTTTTTTTCTTTTTCTTCTTCCAAAAGAAAGAAGACAAACCGGCCAAAGCTCATTGCAGTTTTTGAATGCAAATTTTCAACTTAATTGTGTTTTTTCAGTGTTCATGGATAAGTTTAATAATTAAGTGAATTATTTCTGAATTTTAGTGGTTCGCGTGAATTAAGGGGCTGTTTTATGAGATTTAAAGTTTATACCTTTTAAACTGACACTGTGGTATTTAGGATTGCTACAAGTTGAAGTTCAAAAAATAAGTTGCCACTGATCGTATATTTGCTAATTCAATTGAATAAAGGAAAGAACCAGGAGCTACCTGGCTAGTGGTTTATAAATTTAACTAGAAAGTAGAAACCCTCTAGAAGGAGGACGAAAAGAAATAAATAAACGCCTGTTACAGTTCCAGGAGTTGACATACCTAAGAAATAAGTTATACGCCACACTTAGTATTCTTTTATCCATGCTGTGTGAAAACACACGTGTCTTGCTGGGTGTGGTGTTTTAGCAGGTTTTCAAATCCATGGCTTTCACGGAATTTGTTTGGAACCCATGTTTGTTGCAAAGGAATGGCCAACTTGGATTATCTGTTGACGAATTGGGGTAATTTGAGGAAGAAATGTCTTATAAGGCAGACTTCGTCAGATAATCCAGGCTGGTGGGTTATAGGAAACATTTTTTAGCCTTTCGTAAATCAAGAAGGATGGGTCTCTGTTTTCCTCCAGCATCAGCCGAAGATGTTGTCAGTGTCAACGGGAGTCCACAAACCAGTGCAAATACAGATGTAGATGATATAAGGGTCAAACTGAATCAATCACTGCAGCGTGAAGATTATAGTAATGGACTCGTTCAATATTTACACGGTGCAGCTAGGGTTCTTGAGCTAGCAATCGTAGAACAAGTTTCATTATCAAAATTTTCTTGGTTTCCAACCGCCTGGCTTGATGTAGAGAGGAATGCATGGGTGAAAACACTCTCTTATCAGGTTTGTCTTGGTTCATTCTTTGGGCTTTTATTAATATGTTTAATTTGATGCATGTTTTTGTACTACCAGCTCTCAAGATGTATCAAACAATGTCCCTTCACCTGACTGAGAGATTTGATTAATTATTTTGAACATCTTTCTTTTTCTTTATTTATTTATATATAAACTTGTTTAATTTATCAGCACAGTTTTAAAACATTTTATTCTGGTATGCTAATACAAATAAAGTATCTATGTTCATCTCAAGTATCATTTAAGCTACCTAAATTTTCATGCATTTTCACAGGCTGCTGTGTATTCCCTACTGCAAGCTGCCAGCGAGATTTCATCCCGAGGTGATGTTAGAGACAGGGATATAAATGTTTTTGTCCAAAGGAGGTAGTGCATTGCATATATTTTGTATTTCATGTAATATTATTAACTTTTCGCGAATCTTGTTCAAATATAGGCTATTTTGTTACCTGTTCAAGTTTGTATAAACACACTTTACGTGTATTTAAATATTTACCACGATTACCATCAATTTATGTTAACACTTTTCAACTTATTATGCATTAAGAAAAACTGAAATATTTTCTCACTTTGAATATGGTTCATATTACAATTGGCATTACAAGTTACAAATCTGACAATGGAGTCTTAATGATTTTAAATATCTAAGTTGCTCTCCTCCAGTTGTTATAGGGTAATTGGTTATTTCTGCAGAACAAAATGGCCAATCGCAATGGTGTTGTTGTGAAATGTGAAATGCATATGCTTGGTATGTAAGGTGCATTGTATTATGCTTTAATCATGGAGGCAGACTATGTTGTAGTTTTCACTTTAAATTTCATTCTATGAAGTTTTGCTGAAGGAGGATTGCAGGCTTTCTCTCTCTGCTAACGTCTTTATTTTACTTCCCTTTTCGTATAGAAATTTCAACAGCTTCTAACAAGCACATTGGTGCAGTTTGTTGCGTCAGTCTGCTCCCTTGGAGAGCTTAATCAGGGAGAAACTATCAGTCAAGCAACCTGAAGCATATGACTGGTTTTGGACTGAGCAAGTTCCAGCTGTGGTGATCTCTTTTGTAAATTATTTTGAGCGAGACCTTCGATTCACTGCTGCCACAAATGTGTACAGAATCACCTCCTTGCTGCTTCATGTGAGGCTCTCATGAAGCTCTTGATAGTTGTGAAGCTTATAGTCACATACTGACTCTTTTAATCTGTTCCCTGGCGTGGGAAAGGCAAGTCATTGGGTGCAGGAAGTGCAAGTGACAAAGCTCTTCTCATGCTTGCACTGACTTGTCTTGCTGCCATCACAAAACTTGGTCCTGCTAAAAGTTCCTGCTCCCATTTCTTTTCCATGATTCCTGACATAACTGGTAGACTTATGGACATGCTGGTTGATTTCGTTCCCATATACCAAGCTTGTCATTCTATAAAGGACATTGGTCTACACAGAGAATTTCTTGTCCATTTTGGTCCCCGAGCTGCAGCTTGCAGATTGGAAAATGATCAAGATTCTGAGGAGGTTATTTTCTGGGTCGATCTTGTGCAGAAGCAGCTGCAGTGAGCTATAGATAGAGAGAAAATATGGTCAAGGCTAACAACATCTGAAAGCATTGAGGTTTGCAGTGAGAGTTTATGATTTGTCTACATTTTGAGACTTCCTGCTGTCTTCCATCCTCTGAAAATAGCATCCTGGCGAGAGTTTCTAAAATAATCTATAAATTCATATCTCTCTAGGTTGAATCTGTTATTACAAGATGTTTAAGGCTTTCCCCGCATCCTTTTAGAATATGATGGATAAAATGTGAAAACGTGATGATTGAAGGAGGAAGCAAAATAGTTTGTGCTGACTGCGACATGTTGCATACATACTCAGTTTTTCTTTTGGTAGAGTTGTTCTTGAAAGTTGTACTAATTTCTTGCAGGTCTTGGAAAGGGATTTGACCATTTTTGGGTTCTTCATTGTCTTAGGCAGAAAAACACAGGTTTTTTTATCTGCAAATGGATTTGATGTTATAGATGATCTATTGAAAGCTTCATTAGGTATCTTAGAATACACTAACTTTTCCCCCTATTATGATCAGATTGGTTTCAATGGTTAAGTTGCAAATTTTATTCAATGTCCTTTTGTTGCAGGTACCTTATAGGTGGCAGCGTGTTGTACTATCCTCAACTTTTATCAATAAGTTCTTATCAACTACACGTAGAGGTCAGCATGGCTGGTTTTTTGGTAATTACCTTTTGACAAATATGTTTCATGATGGACTATGATATATCATCCTACTTTTAAATTCATTAGGTTGTGTGTGAAGAGCTAGATTGGCTTCCTTTTTATCCCGGCATTGTTAGCACATCAAAACAGTCTCATGGACATAAAAGTATACGAGAAGATCCTCCTAATATTAAAGCTATTCCTGAAGTGTTGGATGTTTGTTCTCATTGGATGCAGAGCTTTGGAAAATCCTTCTAATGTTAAGGCTGCAAGGTTCCTGTCTAGAGGGTAAAGGAGTTTATGGTTCATTAATTGAAAACCAATTTATATCTGATCTCTGTTGAGTAATTTGAACAAAGTGTTGCTATATTGTTTAGGCACAATAAGTTGGTGTGCATGGATGAACTCGGGATAGCATCGTAAGTTGTGGATGCTTAACCTTAACTTAGTCTTTCTTCCTTCCTTCCCTCTCTCTCTCTCTAGCTGCCCCTTCTTCTCTCTCACTCACTAACCCACGAGAATGCACTCTCATACTCAAGTACATGCATATTGCTATGAGTTTTCAAACATATTTTAAAAATGTCTATCAGTCTATTGAAAAAAAGGATACATGTGAATCAAATACATCAAGGTACCTAAACTAAGCTTCCAAGAAAGACATGAAAAATCTGAAATCTTGATATGCATGTTAGAAAATTTCTACCATTTTATATATATATGTTCATTTACTGCAAAACTGCAACTACATTATCCTTATGACTTGCAAGACAAAAAATAAAGTGAGTAAAATAGTTAGATATAAAAAATTAGGAACAACTGATAGGAAAGAAGGCCAAAGCTTGCTGTGTTTGAAAAAGGAGGAAAGGACTCTGAGCTACACTTCAGAAATAAGATCCAGAAAACTCAAGAAAGAGCTATCTGTTGATAAAACTCCAAAATGTTTGCAAAGGATTTTAGAGTGGAAATATTTTCCAAGACATTTTTGCGTTTCAGCATGGAAAACTCTCATCCTTGTGTTTTCTTGGTCCTTTCTTTAGATTTGCTGAATCTATAAAATTAGTTCTAGTTTTGGGGGCATCCAAGGGCATTGTGTAGTTTGGTATGGTCTTACATGGACTTGATCTAGTAAGATGTTTGTTTGATGTTGCTGATGGACGTATGGTTGCTGCATTAAGATGTTCAATCATCCTTATTTCTAATACTTATCAGTAAGAGCAAAACAAAAAAATTACTACAAACTTAATGATTATTGGCATTGTGATTCAATAAGAGGACAAGCTGTCGCTGTATTATTGGTCATGTGTCTGCATTGCGGTTTTCTATTGTCAATAGGTGTGATATTTCTTTATCTTTCATGTATTCTTAAATTCATAAGATCTTGTATGTATTTTCTTCTTCACTTTCTTTCTGCATCAAAGAGTGTCCGATGACTCTGATCTGATTGATGCTAGGCCAGCCCAGTAATTGTGTTTTATTTGATTTATTACTGCTGGCGTGTACTTTACATTTTGTTTGTACCTTTTTACAACGATCATTTGCTTTTTATTTATTTTTGTGTTATGCAAAAGAGATGTGGTTATCACCTGAGCTGCTGCATACCATGTTTATTACCTTCATCTCATTCTCATGTCATACCAGTGTTGCATTAATTGACAATGGTACTTTATACATAATGATTGCTAATTGCTGATTATACTTGCTGGAAAAAATGTGATGCAGAAGGGAAATGGTGGAGACTAGTTCTGTTGGTAGGACTGGATTAATAACTGAGAAAGAGTCAGATTCATTTGATAAGGTTCCCCCTTTTCCCTTTGAAATTAAATTTGTTTCAAAGCAAATTATATGTAGCTTGGAACTAGCTAATGTGCCTATGCTGCTGGTAAAAGTAAATGTTTAAGTCACGGTGGGGCCTATTTTTCTTTTCATATGCTTAGTCAGATCTGTTGTTAATGCTTCTGCCTTTTTCTTATGAAACCTAGGATGTCAAAGCTTTTGCTTGCTAAACGCATGGATGATGTTTACCGTCCTATCCTTTTTCTTGGTTCTGGCTTCTGTGTGCACTAGATTTTATGTTGTTCAACTGCATTGGTGTAACTGCATTTGGTTTGATTTAGGGTTTTCTTTAAACACCAAAGCATCACTGAGAACAAAAAAAGAGAGAAAATACGTCAGAACACACACACACACACTCTGGGAAATTGCAATCTTATAGACTAGTAGTTGTTACAAAGTTCACTTACCATTTGAGAAATCAACTGTACTGCAGCATAATGTTTAA